TCATTCATCAATGACTACTCTCGTTATACTTGGATATATCTTATGAAAAGTAAAGATGAAGTATCTTCTATAGTTAAAATATTTCACAAAATGGTTTGAGACCCAAATAAAAATTTTCTGTTTTGAGAATGCATGAGAGCACCTATACAATGGCTTAAAGAATTATTTTCTTGATCATGGTTTAGACACTCAAACATCATGTTTCTATGCACCACAAGAGAATGGTGTGGCTGAACAGAAAAACAAACACATGTTAGAAGTGGTGAGAGGGATCTTATTAGGAATGAAGGTTCCTAAGACGTATTGGGATGAAGTAGTTCTTACTGCTACCTATGTGATTAATAGAATGCCTACATCTGTTCTCGAAGGTTGGTTATCCTTTCAAACTTCTCCACCATGCACTTCCTCTATTTTATCTTCGACCAAAAACCTTTGATTGTGCTTTCTTTGTGCATTAGTTTGAGGCTGGCTAGGAATAAATTAGAACCTCAATCTACTAGATGTGTTCCCAGGAAACTTGAACTCTCAGGATACAAATGTTAATGTCTGGAAACTAAAAAGAAATATGTCTCGAAGGATGTTACGTTCTTTGAGAATATACCCTATTTTTCTTCCCAAAGAGATTTGTTATCACACCAACAATCCTATTCCTCTTCCAATGATCATAGATAGTTCCAGTTATCCAACCATGAACATGTGGAATCTATTGAGAAACAAATGAATGTGTTCCCCCCAAAAAAGAACAAGAGAAAATCCAGTGTTCAAAAAGTGGACCGCCTAGCGCTTAGGCGGTCCGGAAGGCTTAGGCGCATCGCCCAGGCCTAGGCGGCGAAACTGGGTAGTCGCCTAGGCTCAAGGCCTGTGGCCCGCCCAAGGGCGGATTTTTTTTTTTTTTTAACTTGTATTGATTTTTTTTAAAATATAAAAGGTTTGAAGGATGGGTTTTAGGTTCATTTCAAACCTAAACCCACAAAAAAAAAAAAAAAAGAAATCCAAACATCACCCAGGTAGATTTGATTTAGTTTTGGAGATTTATAATCCTATTAGAGGGTTTTTATTATTATTTTAGAACTAGAAAACATCTTAGAGGTGGGAGTTTGGAGTTCGAGCAATCAAAGTAAGTGTAAAAATTTATTTTTTATATTGCTTGTTTTATTTTGAGATGTTTTCTTCAGAATCTAGTCAAAGTGGAGATCCGGGTTAGAAATATGGATATAACCTGAATCCAAATGACAAAAATTGCATTAGATGCAATTTTTGTGAAAAAAATACGAAAGGGGGAATAAACCGGTTTAAGAAGCATATTGCCGGTATTAAGGGGGATGTTGCCCTTTGTAAAAATATTCCTCAAGCTATCAGAGAGGAGATTAAGCAATATATCAGTTTTGTAAAAAAAAAATAGGAACAAAATCCTTGTCATTTGAATAGATCTATTTCTGCTACTTCTAGAAGAAGTGATCCGGGTTGGAAGTATGGTTATAATCCAAAACCAAACGATAAAAATTGTATAAGGTGTAATTTTTGTAAAAAAAATACCAATGGGGGTATTAACCAATTCAAGAAACACCTTGTTGGTATTAAAGGGAATGTTGCTTCTTGTAAAAGGGTTCTTGAAGCTATTCGGGATGAGATTAGACAACTTCTAAATATAAAAGAACCAGAAAATGATGAAAATGAGTATTGTTCTACAAAAATATCTTGTCCAGGTTCTTTTAGAAGTGGTAATCCAGGTTGGAAGTATGGTTATAATCGGAATCCGAATGACAAAAATCGTATTAAATGTAATTATTGTGGGAAGGTTACTAATGGGGGCATTTACCGATTTAAAATACACCTTACCGGCATTTATTGGTTAAAATACACCTTACCGATATTGAGGGGGTTGTTGCCCCATGTAAATATGTTCCTTAGGCTACCAGGGAGGAAATTAAACAATATTTGAGTTTAGGGAAGCACCAAAAGATAGAAAAGGGTAGAGCAGTCAAGACTCTTAGGGCTTCATCTGCACATACTAGTAAGAGTGAGGTAGAACAAGAGGAGGAAGAGGCAGATTCAGAAGAAACAGAGGAGGACGAGCGATATATTGAAGAGGGCGATGACTCTGATGATGATGGCTTCGATTCTGATGCATATAATGAAGCTGACCATATTCCTTCTGATGATGATGATGATGACTGAAGACTCTTGGTGTTGAGTGTTGAGTGTTGACTATTGTGTCTGTATATTTCCTGAATTTCTGTATATTTTCTTTTCTTATTTTTAGTTTCTACTTTCTAGTTTCTAGTTCTACTATCTAACTGTTGTGTGTAGAGTCTACAGTGTATCTGACTATTAGTGTATGCTTGTATGGTTTTACTGTTTTAGCATTGTATGAAAAATATGGATTATGGTCTTATGGATTATCAAAAAACTGGGATTATGGTCTTCTTCTTATTATTTTTTTTTTCAACTGGGCCGCCCAGGTTTTAGGCGTCCGTCTAGGCGCTGGGCGGCATGGACCCCCATGGCAGCCTAGGGGCTGCCTAGCGCTTTTTGAGACACTGGGAAAATCTGATGTAAACGATCAACCCCAACTCGTTGACTCGTTAGTTATTTCGTCCTACTCAATTTACCTATTACTGTAAGAAAAGAGAAAAGGATTTGTATTTCTCATCCGATCAGTACGTTTATTTCTTATGTTTCATTTTCACCTTCCTTTCGTGTATAACTTTGCTCTACTTCCTCGATTTCTTATCCCTCCAAAGTTGCTAATTCATTAATTCATCCACAATGGAAAGCATCCCCATGATTGAGGAAATGATTACGTTTGAGAAGCGGGGAACTTGGGATGTAATTGATTAGCTAGAAGGACACCACGTGGTAGGATGTTGGTGGGTGTATAACCTGAAGCACAACTTGATGGTTCGATTGAGAGACACATGACTTGTCTGGTGGCTAAGGGTTTATATGGGCTTGACTATAAGGAGACGTTTACTCCTATAGCAAAATTGAAATTAGTACGGGTACTTTTATCTATTGTAGTAAACAGGAAATGACCAATCCGCCAATTTGATGTGAAGAATGCTTTTCTTCATGGAGATCTACAAGAGTAGGTGCATATGGCATTACCACTTGGGTTTTATCCTTAGGGGGAGAAAGGGAAGGTATGCAAGTTGAGGAAAGCTATGTATGGACTGAAACATTTACCTTGGGCTTGGCTTGAAAAATTCAGTATGGTAATATGTCTGCTTGGATTTCAGAGAAGTGTTTTTGATTATTTAATATTTGTTAAAACATATTTATTCTCTATTTCAATATTGATAGTATATGTGAATGATATAGTACTCACAGGAAATAATGATCACGAAATTCAAAAAGTGAACGATTCCTCGAGGATCTTGGTCCATTGAAATAGTTCCTTGGAATAGAGGTGGCTAGGTCTAAACTAGGAATTTTTTTGAATCAAAGGAAGTATACTCTTGTTCTCCTTAAGGACACAGGAGTGCTTAAAGCAAAACCAACAGAACCTTCCAAAGAGATTTATCACAAACTGTATTAGTAGTTGAGGCCTTTTAGAAACCCTGGTGTATATCAAAGACTAGTAGGTAGATTTATTTATTTGATCATCACAAGGCCAGACATTGCATATGCTGTAAGTGTGGCAAGGCAGTTTATATGCACACCATGCTTTTATCACTTGGAGGCCATTTATCGCATGTTATGATATTTAAAATCTGCTTGAGGGAGAGGGTTAGTTTATACCAGTCACGGTCACCTTTACGTATAAGGTTTCTGCGATGCAGATTGGACCGGGTGTTCTCTTGATTGACTATCAAGTAGTGGGTACTTTATGATAGTAGATGGTAATTTAGTCATTTAGAAGAATAAGAAGCAGAGTGTTGTAGCTCGATCTTCAGTAGGAGCCGAGTATAGAGCTAATACATGGGTGTTAACGTATTAGCCCCTATTCCTCTACATTGTGATAATCAAGCAGCAATTTATATTACCTGAAATCCTATATTTCATGGAAGAACCAAGCATATTGAGGTCGACTGTCACTTCATCAGAGAAAAGGTTACTTAAAAGACAATAGGGACTCCATTTGTTCACTCCAAGAATCATTTGCCAGACATACTTACCAAGGCCTCTATTCGAGTTTGACCAAAGGATATTTTGTGCAGTATATATGCAGGGCACATTGACCCACAGTTTCTGTGGAGTGGAAAAGACATCTATATGTACTTTATCTTGTGTTTGAATATTACTCTCTCATTTCTTTCTCAATCTTTACAAGAATGAATGCCATGTTTGGTTTACATAACAGAAACAAAATTTTTTGTTAAGTAAAATGTACCCTAGCGTTGTTGACAGTTGTACAGCATGCAAACTCATAATTACTCAAGGCTTAAGTTGTAAAGAACTTTTTAGCAGGTGATGGACTTTTTTACCTGAACCCAGAAATGCAGAAGCATCACAGGGATTGTTTTTACTTCACTCGATGAGATGTGACTTGTGCAGTAGATCTAGGGCGTCAATTGATGCTCTATCAGATATTTTGTTTGTAGCATGCTAATATGGTTTCAAACTTTTAATATACAATCAGTAAAGGGGTTTGTATTGAGTTCTACTTCTTACTGGTCTGTACCTTGCGTTTGCTGGAAAAGGATCTTGAGTTAGTTTGAGTTTTTCCTATTGAAACTTCAATGGCTGTCCTAGCTTATTTCTGATTCATTCGTCATGGGATCCCACTAAATCTCTGGTCTATTCATTACATTTGGACAGTAGAGTTCCGTAGATATCTGTTGAGCCTTTGTACAATACAAGCTTTCTGTAGACACATTTACTCAGCAATTTTAGTGGTTGCTTCTCATGTGTCTGTGTTTATATTTATATGCATGCCAATAAACTTCTTTCCAATCTTATTCCAGTGTATGCTCATCTAACTACTCTTTTGCTTTGTATATGTTCCCAAATTGACTTCCTTCAAATCATACTAATTATTCTTCCTTTCATTTACACAGTTTAAGCTATCCAAAAGGAGCAATACTGCTCAGCCACTTGATGTTGACAAGAAAAGTGTCAGAGAAACGAGCAGGTTCAAAGGTGCAAACAGTGCACAGGGTCTTAATGGCTCTTCTGCTCAAGTGCCGACTGATCTAGATAGGACAGAGAAGTTTAGGATGGTCATTGGTGGTGCAAAGAAGGAATCACAGGACCCACCTTCCAAACCTTCACAACAGGGAGTTGGTCTGAGTGTAGAGGCAGCTGCAGAGATTGTTTTGGCTGCAACCAGAGGCTCAAGGAACAACAACCCGAAAACCAATTTTTCTAAAACACATTTGGACAGTTCCAAGGCCACTGAGGACCCCGGTCTAAGTAACAGTGAGACAGGTGGGTCTTTGCCCCTCTCTCTACATGCTTGTGGCCATTCAACTTCTGAGAGAGACAAAAGCAATTCCTTGCCTCCTCTTGTTTCAAATCTGGAGAAAGGAGGTGTATCTGTGGCCAAAGCCATGGCAGAGAGTGCAGCCCTTGCAGCTGCGAGTGAGGCTGACTCTTCTGAAGCACGCCTATCACATGACCAAAAGCTGAAGGCCGAAAGGCTCAAGAGAGCAAAGATGTTTGCAGCCCTTATAAAGGCTGGGGGTGCCCATCGAGCTCCTGTACAACTCACTCTTGGTCAGCCTATATTGGCATCTGCCTCTGGTCATTCTGATACTCTAGAGATTAGGAGCCGTTCTAGGGGCGCCACTCCGAGCTTCTCGGGCGCAAATGCCTTGGAGCCTTCAAAGATGGACTTGGGACTTTTGGAGGAGACACAAGAGATAGAATCTTTTGAGGAAAGGAAAAAGGAAACTGTGCAAACTGGGCATGAAGGGAGAAATGATAAGAGCAAAAAGGAGGTGGAAGAAAATGGAGGAGATAGTAAGAAGCACAGGAATTATAGAAGGAAACATCATGAAGAAGAGAAAAACGATGAAAGTGAAGAGGAACAAGGAGAAGATAGGGCTAGTAAGAAGCACAAACGCTCCAAAAAGAAACGACACGGAAGAGGGAGAAAAGGTGAGAGTGAGGAAGAGGAAGGAGAAGTTAGAGATGACAAGAAACATACGCATTCAAGAAAGGAGTGGCATAGAAGAGAGAGGAATGATCAGAGCGAAGAGGAAGAGGAAGAAGTTGGGAACAATAAGAAGCACAAGCACTCAAAAGAGAAACAACATGCAGGGGAGAGAAGCGACGGGACCGAGGAGGAAGAGGAAGGTGAAGTTCGGGAAAGTAAGAAGCACAGGCACTCGAGAAGGAAACGGCATCGGCGAGAAATAAACTATGAGAGTGGAGAGGAAGATGAAGATGACGGGGATACTAAGCAGGATAGGCATTCCAAAAGGAAATGCCACAGGGAAGACAAGAGGAGGCATGATGCAGAAATTGATGAAAAGCGGCACAAAAGCCATTCCACTTCCAAAAGGACAGAGTCGAGGTATAGGCACAAGCACCATGACTCGTCCGAAGGGAGTGACGGGCATGGGAGAAAGTCGGATAAGCATAAGGAGAGATATAGAAGAGATGATGATGGGGTAAATCTTGAGCCCACAGTATATAGATCGGGAGATGAAGTGGAAGTTGGTGAGAAGGTGGATTCAATGAGCCTAGGTGGAGTAGAGGGAGGCAGAGGTGAGGCTCCTCACTCAGAGATTCCTGAAGACCTGAGAACGAAAATTAGGGCAATGCTGTTATCCACCTTGTAGCTGGAAGGAAGCTGTTGTCCACCATGTAGCTGTTAGCTTCCTTCCATAACAGGTTTAAGGCTCGTCTCTCTCTCTCTCTCTCGCTCTCTCTCTCTCTCAATTTGTAAGGTTATTTGGCAACGCTATGAGCCACCATATAGCTGCTAGCTTCATTCCATCAATTGGTAAGGACTTCATTTAGGTTTCTATACCATTTTGTAAGACTAGCTGTTCGATGTGATTACCATGCGTGTACCATAAATCCATTTCGATGAGTGGGATTTGATCATCATCATCTTTTCTGGTTTAGATTTTTGGCTACGGCAGAAAGAACGAGAAATTTTAAATGATAGATTTTGTAAAAAGAAAATGTTAAGTTGCACCTAGAAATCCTTCTGACAACCCTATAATGACTTTGAAAATTCATTTTTGCCATTTGGTTATGAAATTTGAAGCTCTAAAATGTGGTGCATATTTGGGCCACAGGTCTGGTGTCAGAAATCCTAATGATGGCTTGAAGATCAATTCCTTATGAAATTCAAAGATCGAAAGATAAGTGTAGATATGTTGGGTCAGTGAACAATTGAAAATGGATGAAACAAATAATGTACTAGAAAATATACAATTTTTGGCTCTTGATGGTTTTAATTTTTATCGATAGTTGTTGGGGTGAAGATGGTCTATTTTAAGTGCTTGAAGCCCCAATTTTTGGGGAGGTTTGTTATGCTCTGTCTAACCATCTTTCTTTTACGGAGTGTTTTATGCGTTCGGGGATGAAATCGTGAATTTGCGTCCCCCAAGGCCCCAACATACTAAACATCCATCTCAAAGATGATGCAAAATGGTGGTCCCTCCAAAAGAAAATAATAATAATAAAATCCGAGGGTCTAGATTTTTTTTTTTCAAAAAATTATCACTTGATTTTTAGGATTTACATGTTTTACGTATTAAGATCTCCATGTGATACAATAGATATTTGTAAAAAATTAGGTCTAAAGTCTCTCAAAATTGAATCAAGGTGTATTTTGCGAGTAGGTAAGCTCAATCTTCTCTCTTGTAAGAGGGAAAAAGTGTGTAGGAACTATTTGAAGGAAATATTTGTTGTTACTCTTTGAATACTACCATGTGGTGTATGTGGGAGCAAAAAGTTTCTCGGAAAGTTAGGACTATTTGGTTTGAACTTGGATCTGTTCGATAAGGTGGAGTGTTATTTGTGCATGTTTATAGAGAAATGAGGCGGCTCATTCTCTCACAGGATCGTTGGTAGTTAGCAACCTGGTGGGTGTTTTGACATTTTTCTTTTTTGCAACTTGAGTGCAATGTTATTATTGTTGAAATGAACGAACTTTCAGCAATCTTATGAAAAACCCCAAAAAAAAAAACAGAAAAAAAAGAAAGAAAAAAGAGAAATGGCCTGAGATATGCCACGATGGTTATGAAAGTAGAGACTACATGCATCCCATGGATGCATTGAAAATGGTCAAACTAGATATACTGGCTTATGGACAAGGACTTCCCATGACCTTTTTTGTTTTTTGATAATGTTAGGAACTTTTATTGTTGGTGGGATGAAATGCATTGTAATGAGAACATCAGAAATAGACAAGGCGAGAAGCAAGGTGCCGTCTTTAGCTAAGCTATCTGCGGTTCCATTGGCCTTGCGGTAAATGTGGGAGAAAGAGATTTGGAGATCCGGAGTAGAGCAAAGATCTATGATTTCAACCTAAAACCATGAAGAGTCTAGGGAATTCTTTGCTCCTGCTTACCCCATTTAATGACATTGAGTGAATCTCCTTCAATAAGAACGTACCCCATAATTCTCTTACTAGCAATAAGTTCCAATCCTTGCAAGAGGGAGCATATTTCAGCCTGGTTGGCCGTGGTGTTTCTGCAAGGACCCGCATAAGAGAAAATGACTGATCCCTCATGGTCCCTAAGCAGTCCTCCTATTCCAGCTGGACCCGGATTCTCAAAGGAGCTACCATCAAAATTGAGTTTGAGAGAGCCTACCTAGGAAGATTTCCAAACAAAGTGAGGACGACATATTGGTGTAAAAGAGAAAACTAAATTCTTACAGTTAACAAAAATGCCAATGAGAGAAACTCCTCGCCCCTCATTGGTTAAAGAGAACCAATCCTAGAAAGCATGAAGGATACGATCTTTAACACATTCGATGTTAAGAGAGACCCCATCAGAAGTTCTTCTATTGCACTCTAATCAAATATAACAAATGATAGCACTTCTAAAATTTTTCCAAATTAAAGCTCCTTTTGAGGGTATGTTTGCACAGCTGAGATGGTAAAAAATGTCGATTAAATTCTTTGGTCGCAAAAGAAAAATATCCAATAACCTGAAAGCCCAACGCCAAATACTAGCTGCAAAAGGACAGTGCAGGAAGAGATGGTTATGGATTCCTCTTCAATCTTGCACATTAAACAAATATTTGTTAAAATTTTGCCCCTTAATCGAAGATTATAGGCATTTACCTTGCAAAGTCACCCAAAGAAATGTTGAATTTTGAAAGGGACCGGCCATTTCCAAATAGAGCTAAGGGTAAAGTTATATCGTCTCACTCGATCTTCAAAGAGTAATTTATAGGCATACTTTACCGAGAATAAGCCATCATTCTCACTTTCCCAAACAATCTCATCTGATCCCCAAGAAAAGAGGTTGACATCTTGGAGGAGCTCTATTAAATTTTGAAATTGCAGGATAACGCAATCTGACAATCTATAGTAGTTGCATCCAATATCCCATACCAAACCTGATGAAGTGGAAATAGAGAGGTCATAAATTTTGACTGTTGGACTAGTTACTCTAGCAAAGAGATTTGGAAATGAGTAAAAGAGGGGATCATCTCCCACCCACTTATTAAACTAAAAGAAAGTATCATCTAACCAATGAACGTTTTTTACAACCACTCTCTTACAACTGAAAAATATCTTTCCAAATCTGAGAACAAAATTCACCACCGCGTCCTTTTTTGATCAATCGAGAAATATGATCGAAACCATATTTTGCAGTGAGAACTTCTTTCCAAAGATGATTTGGGCCCTGAAAAATTCTCCACCACCATTTTGAGAGGAGGGCCTAATTCATGAATTTCTACGTACGAATACCGAACCCACCCTCTTTAGTTGGGGTGCAAACCTTATCCCAGCCAATCAGATGGTATTTTTTGTGATTCTCATCAAAAGACCCTCAAATGAAATTGCACATATACTGCTCAATAATTTTAATCACATTTCTAGGCATCTAAAGAATAGACCTCAAGTAAATTACAAGGTTAGCATAAGTTGATTTCACAAGTGTTATGTGACCTTCCAGGACACTGTCTTTGGTTTTCATAAATCAACCTTAACTTGATACCTATGGATAAGAGAATCCCAAACTTCCCCGGAGAAGTTGAATCAGAAATGGAAACCCTCAAGTATTTAAGAGGAAATTTATCCACTTTACATCAAAGGATTAGAGCTAAAGGTGAAAGAAAGACCCATGTGATCCTTTACCGGGGGAATACTTTTGTTTTTTTCTTCACCCCTTTCTTTTGGCAAAAGATCACTTACATGTGGTCTTTATTATAATAAGATAAATTTCAAAATAAAATCAACATAACAATAAAACCAAGATCTTAACAACTTGATGCCATTGAAACAACTATGCACTATGCTTGAGAATAAAAGATAAGATTGCAAGCAACAAAAAGAAGAGTGTCAGAGATTACCTCAACCGGGCTTATTACACCCCACACCAAGTCATCACCATCCAATGACGTAGGATCAACGGTCTAGTTTCAATCTCGAACCGGGAAAGCAAATTTCGGCCAAGTCATACCAATGAAACATGAACCCCTTTTGATCACAAACTCAAACCCTAGGTGAATTATCTTAGCAACCTAGTTTGAGAGAGACGGATTCTCGTTTTGCTAAACCCTAAAACCTTTAGCCATAAATCCATATTTGAGAGATAGGAGAGAGAAGAACTCTATAACCTAAACCCTTAGGTTCTTTCACAATGTAGGAGAGAGAGATCAAACATAAAAGAGATAAACTTTCTTAAGAGAGAGAGAGATAGAAAGATAAGGTGTAGGGATTTTGCGTAGAGAAAATCCCTTTTTTATAGGCTTGGACAAGATAAGAGTTTCTTAAGGTTTTCCTTAGATTGCCTCTTCTTATGAGATTGATCATAGACCATCGATCAAGCGTGACTTGTGGGGTGAGAGATCAGAGTCATCCATTCCATAAATGGGCCATCAACATTATAGAAGTTGCATGGATCATTATCCCCCCTTTCCTTAACCATTTTCCCATCAATAGAAATTAGATAAATTAAATCTAATTAAAATATTATGTATTCCATAATCTTTCATAAAATATTCCAAAAATATATCAAGTCAATATATATTTTTAATATTTGGTCAATAAATGGTCAAAAGATTTCATATCTTATTTGACCACATGCCATAACATAATATTACCAAAATATAAAATAACTTAAACTCCAAGAACGAATCCAATGGGTGGGGCGTGCCACCTATGTGTGGCACATGTGGGCCCAACCCACTTGACACATGGTGGACCCATGTGCACTATGGGCCCCTCCATGATATTTTATATAATTTTAAATTATCAAAAAGAATTCTAAAACATTATTTGAATTTTACAATTTTGTAAAATCAATATCTTCATTTTTATAAGTCCAGAAAAATTATAAATAAAATATCAAATGACTCATAAAAATTCAAATAATAATTCTAAAATAATTTCTATCATAAAACAAATACAATTAAATTAACTTGATGGGAAATGGATCCATATGGTTAAGGAATTTAATCTACAATCATGTGGCACTCCACCTTCAACTGTGGACTACAGACCATACTTACCTTATTGAACCGACCTAATGTTGCCCATGACTCACAGTCCAAGCAAGAGCTCATTAGCGAGTCACCAAAGTCTGACGGATGAGCCAAGCGGTCAAAAATCCCAGTCTGTAGATTACAAGTCCTCCCCTAGAGACAAGTCAAGGTCACCAAGACCTTATGCGACTACAACTCTATGGCCTATAGGGGTATCTCTCGTACATACATACGCTTCACCTTAAAAGGTGGATTTCTAGCTTTTCCGAATGATCTATCGATATGCATGCCGTGTGATGGTACATGGATGAGGTTTTGACCCTTTTCTGACCTCATCAAGGGCTAACCAATAAAGTTTCATCGGTTTGTTCTTCATGCTCAGGTAACATGAGTTTTTTCCAACCGACTGGCCTGGATCGTTAAGCACAGATCAGTATCAACAAACCATCGT